TTCTGTGCCATTTCCAGGTTTGTATACCCACCCATTTGTTCAACCCTGTGAGATCTGCTTTTCTTTGTCCAGTGGCATTGACATTTCTGGCAGCTCTGTCCTCTCCTCAATACAGTAAGATGTGTCTCTTTGGTCCCACAAAGGCTATGACACTTTCCATCCTGATTTTATTCATTTACTTCCTCTCTGTAATGGGAAGGAAGTGAGTTTGCCACCTTCTGTGGATCTCTGCCTGCCCTTACTACATAGCCCCTTCCTCTGTTCTACCAGAACCCAGCTGAGGAGCACACTGAAGACATAGTAAAAACACAAAGATTAAAGGATAGAAGGATCAGCATGCCTTCTGTTTATTGTTGAATACGACATTGTCAATAAACCGGTATGTCAGCAATTATTTTATTACTCAGTTTAGATATCACTGGGGAACAAAAACAAAAACGCTAAACGAGCCTTTTCAGAAGGCCCTCAATGAAAGCTACAAACTGCCTTTGAAATTCAAAGAAAACTCAGTTCCTGACTCCAAAGTACCAGTAAAACCCCAGACTTGATGTTTCCAATCTATTGCCTTTTTTTTTCCCAGTGGAGAATCAGGATGGAACAATGTTGCAATATTTAATTCTTCAGCAAGCACTCATCTGACTGCTGTAACAGTAACTTGCTTAGAAAGCAAACTCCTAAATTAATTTTAACAGCAGACTTGTACACATTACAGTTTCCAACCTTTAGGGCTACATTCATCATCCTTCTGACCAGAAAGAAGACACCAATTATTGAACCATTCCATTAGATTGAAAACAGAGTAGAAATGGAGGAAGGATTCTTGCAAAAATTTGCACATCAGATCACACTTCAGGAGATTATTTCAGCATAAGCTACATGATAGTCTAAAAAACTGACTTTTTTTTATAGAAGTCATATTTATTTGTATTTTATATGATGGCTAATGATTTACATCGCACCCACCCATTTGAGAATATTCAGGGCTCCAGGGCTCCAGCCAGAACCAGACTATTCAAATCATTGTTGGTCCATCCATTTACTAGTTACAACAAGGCCTTCTGTGACTAATTATGGTCTGACTGCAGCAGGAAAGGCAGCTTCAAAGAATTGGAATTTTCAGACACACTAGCAGTTCCCTTGGTTCCCAAATTCATTATTTATGTGGATTACATTGAGTTGACAGATTTAACTGGGCTGCTGAAGATATGGTCAAAGAAGCAGAGTCACTCCCTTCCCTTTTATTGTCTTCTGAAAACATAAGAGTCATATGCATCTGTCACTAGAGAGAGGAAGTTCTCCATCAATGGACTTCATTTGGGATTTTATAGGCTGTTTCAGTAGCATTTGGGAATAGATCAATATAATATGTGGTAGGGAGTTGTATTTCTTCATGATGCACTGTAAATCTTTTATTGAAGATAGTCCCACTGTTTATTGTTGAAAATTGATAAAAATAAACCTTGTAAAGTTAAAACCTGGCAATGGATCAGCACAAATCAGAGGGAAGGAGTAAGAGGCAATGCGCCTCCCTCCTCTTGGATAATTCCCAGCTTGTTTCTCAAGGAATATTTAGTAACGCTTTCCAAAAATCTAGGAACATTTTTTTTTTAAAAAAGTTATTCAAAGTTATGAACTCTTTGTTGTGAATTCAAACAGGACTTTTGATCCACTCTGGTGGCTTTCTGGTACTGAATTCAGCTGTGGATCAAAACAAAATACCACCCAAGTTATGCTGGATGTACCTGAGACTTATGCACTCAAGAGACTGACAAGCACATCAGCCTTGCTTGGGTCAGATTAACAGAGTTATTTAGTTATTTTTGAGCATTGGAAAGCTGGAAACCAACCAAAAACTGGGAAGAGTCCACTGGGCAGAAAAGTTTCCCCATAGTTAACAGAAGTTACTCTCATTGGGTGTGATGCAGTTATTCCAGCATCATTGTTTTTCCCTATGGCTATTAATTCCTCATATACAGCATTGTAGGGAGAATCTTCTACTACTTCCATGAAATTCAATTATGAAGGTAAGTGAAAAACGGTTTGGAATTATTTAGTAAAGGAGAAAACTTCCCAGTACTATGGCCAGCACAGAAAGATCAGTCTTAGTATCTAAGATATTATCTAAATAGTATCTTAGTCTATGGTATCAATTTATAGAGCTTTATTTAAATATCTATTCTTAATTATCTATACAATCACATGAGTGCTAACTGCAGAATCTATAAGAATGTAGTGACTGCACTTCCCAAAGAAACAAAAACCCTCATGAACTGTCATTGAAATCAATACCCAAAGAACAAGAAGTTATTTCACAATAGACTCTGTTCTTCCTGGTATCAGCAGGATACTGAACAATTCAAGTGGTAAATAAATGACACATCCCTGTAAGTACAACATGAGAGACTTCCCAGTGTGTGAAGAAGCAGGCAAAATGTTACTTAAAAGTACCAAAAACGTCACCCATCACTAGAAAAGGAAGTCAACACAGTTACACGCTGCAAGAACAGGGGGATGGAAAAAGTGTGGTACCTCTATCCTGTTGGGACATCCAACCAGCATCACAAGCTTGTACTGGCAAAGTCCTTAACAGTCTTGAATATAGAAACACAGGATGACACGCAATTATAACGGAGGGAAAAGTGATTAAGATGAGAAAATATAAAGCAAATGAGGCATTGTTTTTCTGAATCATCTGCCTTTTGCAAATCCCGCAAGCTATCACCTCATTTTGGATGACCTCCTGCCATGTAAACTGCAGTCCCCGTGAGTGGGACAGGATGATGGTGCTGCCTCATCATTCAGTTTATTTTTCGCCTGTGGCTCTGCCTGCTACAAAACCATAGAGAGGTCATTGTGAGTGAGGGACAGGACTGCCCCAGCACTGTGGCAGCTCCTTTCTAGCATTGCAGGCAGTGGAACAGTTTGCACATTTCTGCTGAATCCAGGGAAGAATAAAAAGGCAAATACAGCAGTGAAGTTTACTGAAATCAGCAAATTTTGCACCTTCACAAGAAAAAAAGGAATTCTCTTGAGAAAGTTGGCAATGACTTGAAGAAGCAGATTATGTCAGGGATAACAAATTACTTTTATTGGAAAATAAAAGTCTAAATGTCTCAAAATCCCATTCCCATTTAATCAAAAAGAGAGCTAGATGTGAGCAATCAGAGCTTCTGGTTCTGTCACATGTAAAAGCACAACCAAGTCACCTACAACACACTGCTAGTCTAGCAAAGATTGTTTGTGAGAAACCAGAGTTGAATTCCCTGCCAAGGTTTGGGTGGAAGTCCTTAATTTAGCACATAATCTGGTTGTGACAAAGCAGCTTTTAAAATCACTCAGACTTGTAGATCCTAACAGCTGAATTCACTTGTACAGCTGTTTCCTTCTGTGTGAATAACTCTGCTGTGTACACACCACACAGTCTGCTCTCTGCTACGTACCTGCTTGTTTGGGGCTTCAAAAGGGAAGGAGCAGTAAAAACATTGGCCACTATTTCTAAATTCCTGCCTTGATGCCTGCAGGTTATACTGCATACCACTTCAAAGAGGGCACAGAAAATTTGCCATCCTGACTCAGCAACACTTTGCAGTAGCATAAATAACCTTGCAAGGTGAAGGCCATCTGAAGATCCTCCTAGTAAATCAGTGCTATTTTTATATTAATTTGTCTGCAAATAAACATGTCTGCAAATAAACATAAAATAAAATTTCACCTGTTCCTCCATAATTACTGCTATTTAGTTGTAGCTCAAAGCTACACAACTCCTGTAGGTCTATCATCACCGCTTCCTTTTTCTGGATAAAGAAATCCAGTGAGGTGCTTTCCTTGAAGAACCAGCTTCAATTAAATTAATTTATTCCATCAATCTTCCATTGAAATCATGTGTATCCTACTGATATCAGTCAGACACTTTCAACAGATTTCTATCACGTTGTTCACACACATGCTGTCAAACTTAAATTTAAGGAACTATCAGTTAAAAAAAAAAAAACAAACAAAAAAATCCAACAAATTGAAAGCATTGTGTAAGAGCCTAATCTTGTTCTCTGCAGGAACACAAAATGACAGAAGGTGACGCTTCTCAGTTCAGAATAAATGCTAAGTAAGAATAAATGTTAGAAGAACTCTGGGAACACAAGCTTGTTGATGCTCATGTGCTTTGCTTCCAAAAGAAGCACAGAGTCATAGCACACTTATCCAAGGGTGAGGTAAAGCACATATGGTTCTTTACTTGACAGCAACTTGCACTGGTATATTTTCCAGAGACAAATGTTGCATACACATTGATGAATGCAGAATGATGTTGTGCTAAATAAAAATTAACCCATGTGTTCAGCCCATCATAAAGTTTTACTAAAATGGTTGTATCAAACACTCACTTTGCCAAAGACATGGAACATAGATGATGGCATAGGTAAAAAGTTTAGGGCTCTTTAAAAATTGAAGTATTTTGTCTTTTCTTTCATTTTCAATTAAAAAAAAATGGAATCCAAACTTAAATTTTCAAAGTGGCCGCTGCAGCATGGAAAACAAAGTCTCTACTTTTGTGGTAGGTTAAACAGTGTAATTGTTACTGTGAGGGGTTCTGGAACTTGTCTCAGCTTACATCACTGCTGTTAGTGATCATTTAGGGCATGTCTATTTTTGCCTCAAGTCTATTTTTTTAACTTTTTCTGTAATTTTTTTTTTGTGGGTTTTTTTTTTTGTTTTTTGGGTTTTTTTTGTTTTGTGCTTCATATTAGTCCCTCCACCTACAATATAAACAGCCAGTAACTCACCCAATAAGCAACATTATCATTTCCAAACAAGGAGTGCTGTCTGCAGAACAGCAATTTGTGGGGACAATCATCCCACACAGCTTGTCTGCTCTGTCATCCAACAGTGGTCTGACCTCAAAGTCCACCATGATAGGCTTTCTGGCAGAGACCTTCACAGAAGGTTTCCACAGAATCATGGAAAAGACCAGGCTGGAAGGGAACTCAAAAGATCATTTGGTCCAGCCTTTCATGTGAAATAGAGCCTCCATGAAATCATTTAGCATCCTCTTCAAAATTTCTAACAATGGAGACTCTACCACATCTGTGGGGAGGTTGTTCAGATGGTTCTCCGTAAGAAATATCTTACTTCAAGACAAATATGAACATACTGACATTACTGACCAAAAAAATCCCATTTGAAGTGGAAGCATTCACTCTTGCATTCATTACATAACCTGTGAGCAGCTTAGGAGATGTAGTCTCACAATCATATTCTTCTCAAACCAAACAGCTCTAGAAGCAAAGAGGACCTCACTATTTCTGCTGAGCTTCTGAACTTGGGTCTAGCTGAAATGCCTCACAGTAGTAGCCAAAGAAAAGAGGTGTCCAATAGTAGCACCACCAGTCTGGAAAGATCCATTTCACTGAAACTCCTTAGGGCAAGAAACACATGGCTGAGTCCCACCCCCATTATCAAGTGCTGCAAATAAGGTAATGCATTCACATTTTAAAACTAATGAAAAGCCAGAACTAATTGGTCAGCCAAGAAAGCCCAAAGTGGTTCTCCTGGGCTGTTCGAAGCCTTGGGAAGATGGCATTTTACCAGCAAGAAAACTGAGATGCAACTAATGAATCTCTGAAGTTACTGCTATCTTCTTTCCCTGCCTTGATGGAAGGACAAAAGATTCTTAATTTATAAAGCTTCATTAACTTACCTCTCTCAGTACCTGAGCTAATTTTGGTATTTTTACAAAGCTTTGTACAGGACTAACAAGGCTTGAAGCCACTTCTGCTAAGCCTTCCAACTGTGTTGTACTTAACAAGTCCTTAAAAATCCTTTGCACTCTTTTGTTTGAGACTGTATAAACTTTCATCTGAAGGGCTGTTCATCACATTTTCATCCTTTTTGTAGTGAAAGCACTAAAAATTAACTGACCTTCTGTTCACAAAGATCTTTATCATTTAATTCTCAGAACCAAAGAGCATTTTAATGCCATCAGAGTGGGAGGAGAGGACAGAGGAGTGTTCTGCAAGAGATAGTCATACATTATTTCACAGACCTCAGAGATGGCTTTCACAAAACCACATAGCACCACAGCTCGGGACTTTCTCCTTACACTGCTCTCAGCCAACTGCAAGAGAGTCATTAAGTGGAAGCACTAATCAATTTTTGGGGTTTGCAGTCCTCCTCCAGCCACTTCTAAATGTTGGGATGATAGCTGCATCAAGATATTATTTCTTCATGTATTACCACATTTTTAAAATCTACTTGCAGATCAGCACAGAACATAAAAACAATTTTCTGGAAGGGATGGCTGATACTTTATGAGTCCTCATGTTAATTTTACGCACAGAGATAAAACAAAAACAACTCTTGCAATTGCTGAAATATGGTCCACAAACCCAGTATTGAATCTGGGCTTCTTTTACTTAAAGAAGGTAGAACAGTAAAAGGCAAGAAAGCAATTTTTTTTCCCCTAAATACTTGAAAGAAAATGTGTTTGTTACTTCCCTCAATAGCTGCAGTTTCAAACAAGCCAAAACAAAAAAAGAAATGACCACTAGTGCTAACACATCCCTCTTCTACATTCAAAACATGGAAGGAAAAGCCTTTATTTCCATTTCTGTACTTGGCTTCTCTTTGCCTGTGCTGCCCCAGAGCTCCCTGAGGTTTGGTTCGCCATGATGTCAAGGCCTGCTGCCCTCTTCATCCTTTCAAAAGTGTAGCATTCAACCTTCTCTTCACTGGCAACTGTCCTGGTGCCTATGAGGCGAAATCCATCTCTGAGTAAAGTGTCAAGCAGCAGACCTAGCACGTTAGTACCATTAATCAGCTTTCTCTTATCAGGCTTTATGGAAACATACCTAAAATCAGAGGGAAAAAAAAAAGCAGTTACAACACACTTTAACTACTTCTTTACAGTGCAGATCTGCTGCACTGTGCTTATAGCTGCACAGTGCACAGCTGCACTGTGTTTATAGCAACAAAGGCTCCAGATATTTTTTATTTCCTTTAAGGATGACTGGACTCTTTCCTTCATTAAGAGTAATTCTCAGTACATCCAGTTATTTGCTGGGGAAGAAGCACTTCTCTTTCACACCCTCCCCCCACCAAAACACTTACTTTTTTAAGAAATGCCTATGACAACCTGCATCTTGTCTCACTCAACAGAGGAAAAGAAAGCAGCAGGCTCTGCAATGCTGCAAGTTTTTCAGGCAAGAGTAAATGGTGGACAGCAGAGTCACGTTCACCCCAAGAGCATCACTCTCCAACACACAGGATCTCTCTCTACAGTGACATTTATTGCAAAGTTACCTTCTACAGCAGGTCGTGTGGTAACAAATATGAAAATCATTTCCACATGGCCTCAAATGATTTTATTTGATATAAAGTACAGTGTAAGAATCTATCCAGACATTCCTAGGAGCAGAGGTCAGGTAAAAATACTATTACAAAATATATAAACTGACAGGGGAGACTGTTCCACAGTTCACAGGCAAATACAGCAAACATTCATGGAAAGCACAAGAAAGGCAAAAAAGTCCATGTCACCTCAAAGATTAAGGAGATAGAAATTCAGCAAGGCAACATAATCAAATTTGATTTGTTTCATTACTCAAGAACAGCTTTTCTATTGAGCTGCAAAGGGAAATTTTTACCAATTCTGAATAAATAAATTTAAAAATCAGAAATATTTTTCCCACTAAAGTTGCCATAACCTACTCAACCAATTGCTAGTCCATTAAAATTAGTAATATGTTACAAAGTTAAGGTTTGGCATACAAACATATATATTGCTTCACAAATGCAAAGTAGTTTTTATTGTAATTGCTTAGCCGAAGAAAGCTGGAAGAAAGATAAACTTCATTTTCTTAAAAAAATAATCAAAAGGCTGCTGTGTTGGTTCATATATTCAAATAGAATATTTTTGGAAATATTTCAGTGAAATTTCCACATAATTCCAGATGTTCTAACAGCCACAAAGGACAAATTAGGTTAATATTTTCTTATACAGTAAGAACATGTCTCCATACAATAGAGACATCCAGCAAAAGATAGTTTAAGAAATCTAAGTAGTCATTAGAATACGATACTGCTATCACAAAAATTACTGATACACAGTTATCTTAATAAAAACAGAACCTGGCTTTGAATTCAAAGAAAACCCACTGTGAAGCATCTAGTTAATAATCTGTCTTTTCTCCCTCCCCCTAATAAAAAGCTCTACAAAAGCTTTCTAGTCCCTGAAATGCTGTCTCAGTTCCACTGGAGATTTTAACCCTTCTTGCCATTCTCTGTTTCCTGTTTTCCATATAAGAGCCTTTTGCACCATAAGCTAGTGGAGATTTTAGGCTTCCAACCAGTACTTTAATTCTTTACTTTGTTTCCTTTGATTCATTTTACTCTGTTTTTCATGTTCTGTAGAAGGTGATACTGTGAAATTCTAAAGTGAGTGAGGAGGAAATTGCAGGGAGAAAAACCCAAGAGCACTCATAAACAAACATCAAGAACAGTATTTTAGGAAACTGAAGAACTGAAGGCTGTAACAAATTAAACTGGGTGTTTAAAAACCTAGAAAAAGATAACATTGAACAGAAAGAAGGAAACCTATTTCTTTCAGTTTCTTTAAAATGAGCTTTGCTAGCGTGCACTTCATGAACTGCAAGTCACAAAGACACGTGCGTAATGAGAAGTCACTCTAGGGACAGTACCTGGCCACGAACTGGTCACCAGCAGAATACTCAGTACCACACAGAAAAACCAGATCGTGATGAGAGGGTCTTTCCACAGGAAGTGGAACAAGTGGCTTCTGGGAAGGAAAAGGGCTGCTCCAGCCCTGTCCTGACTGCTGCCCTGTAAACACAGTGATCTGCTCAGCTAGTACCTCAATGGTGGTACTGCAGGAACCAAAGATCCGGAAAAAGGCCTGCATTTCTTGGAGAGAAAAATGCACTTCCAAGATCTCCAGCCTTGGCTTCAGCAAATGTTCTTGGCTCAGGAGGTTGGCCAGGGGGTAGAGTCCATAGAATTCTGCTTCTCTCTGCAGCCTCTGATAGTCTGAGAAATCAGTTGGTAAGGACACCTGGAGAGTCCTCAAGAAGTCCATGATGTAACTAAACAAAGCTCCATCTCTGTCCACAAAAAACTCTCCATTCACCAGTTTAAATTCCCGGTCATCATCATTCACCATCCGTGCCAGCCTGGACTCAGGGAACTGCTGCAAGGTGGAAGCCCAGGTTACAAATCTCACACCTCCCACACTCAGAACGACCACCTCTCGACTACTCATGGCTGCCTCAGCCACTCAGGAATCGTAGCCCTCTGATCTACATGTCTGTGACTTGATCTTTCCTAAACTGCAAGGCAGCTGCAAAAACCATTGCATGCTTTTAGCAAGTGTTTGGAGTGAGGTGTGGAGCAGCAACAGGATTCCCAGGCAACAAAGATGTAAATATCATGTACAATAGTTTTGTTTGCTAGGTTTGGTTGCTTGGAGACTTTGAATTCTTGGAATTTAATGTTTTATTTTTGAAATGAACAGCTTGCAAGGACTACTGGAATACAGTGAATTGACTGTCAAAATTCATGAAACCTTGAGAGAGGCAAACGAATAATCCCAAAGGATGGCACACATTATGTTTGTTTTCTAGAAATACCAGTTCAACATTTTCATTCCATACACTGCTGTTCATACAACCACTGCAAAAAGAGGTTAAATGTGCTTCAGGCAAGACATTTCAGTACCGTACGCTCCGAAAGAAGGGCACTTCAGAGAACTCAAGCTTAAGGTTCCCTTTAAGTCACTCTTACCTAAGGCCAAGTCAATACAACCAGAAAATTCAAACAGTTCCCAAAACGAGATACATAGAAATACAGCAACAGCAGAAGAACCTATGCAAGGTTCTTCAAACACCACCAACATCCATACACCTGCTGCATCACATAACCTGTTCCAGGAATCATCCAGACATTTTTCCTGGCTTTGGAATTGCAATCTGGAGAGGCAGAGAGGGACAGGAGAGCAACTGTTCTACCTGTGACCTCTGCAGGGCTAGAGCCCAGGCTGCCTTCCTGTGGCAGACTCCAGCATGCCTTTCATTGCACTAAGTTCTTTATGTTAAGGCCAGCTTTAAAGAAAGTGTGGCTTCAGAGAAACATGGATCTAACAAAACAGCCCAGCTACGCCAACAATTTGACGTTGGAAAAGTCAACTGCAAAGTATGAACTATCTGCAAAGCACATACCATTCTGCAGCTTGTTCTTATCATTACCTCTAGAATTTATGCTTGCCCTGAAGATACATTTTTGTATAAAATATGAAATCTGAATGCACAGGGTACTTACAGTATTTGGTTATGCAAAAAAAATACCCCACAAAACCAAACCAAAACATATAGCCATTTCAGAGAGAAGTAACACTGTCAGATAGAAGCTGGTTCCAGAACCTGAATGATGCATGCTGCATTTTGCAGTGGAAGGGCAGTCCTCAGCAAACCTGTCAGCACAGTGCTCACCTCAGTCACAACTCTTCTTCCTCTTTCCAAACGATCTCCTAGTTAGAATTTTTTTTAAACTATAATCTTTTACCTTATTCTACAATTACATTAACACCAAACTAAAGATACAGTTTGGCCCTGTATTTTGGTAAGAAAAATGATTTACAGTGAGTAATATTCCCATAATCATTACTGAAAGAAGAATCCACAAGGTGTTTTTCAAAGCTCCATTTCATTTTCTGGTTTAGCAGTGCTCAAACTATGTGAACTTTATGAATGTTTTGGAATAATTTTGAATCTTTGAATGTTTTCACTGCAAGTCTGAAAAGACCAATTAATTTGAGAAGTCCCATGTTTTCTTTCCCAGATCTCTCTTAGTTATTATATTCCAGCAGACACTTCACAACAGTTTATATTTGCACACAAACTGTGCAACATTATCCAGTACAACCAATGTATAGTTTTTACACTTTTCTCTTAACAGTGAGGCTCCATCTGTCATCTGTTCCCAGTAAAAGACTGCATGATCTGCTATCTCCACAGTATCTGCCAAATAGGACAAGCAAATTGTAAGGAACTGGGATTTCCAGCACTGGAAGTTGTCAATGACTGACTCCACAAAGGACATTCTGGTGACAGCAAGAATGAGCAAGAAAATAAGAGAGTTCACTATAAATCTGCGTGAAAAGACTGAGGAAATCTTGAATTTGAAAGTGTTGCTTTCCTGAGGCAAGGAAAGTTTGTCCACATCGACAAGTTTTATTCCATTCCATTGGCTGGTATCAAAGCTCTTCATTGTGGGACTGATGTCCACAGTGGAACAAGGTAAAGGGGTTTCTTTGAGCACCTTGATTTTTTCCCTGAACTCCTGCATCTGTTGCAGAAATATAATGGGTTCAGACACATCTTTGAAGGCCTCTGCAATGTTAAAAGCCATCCGCTGCTCTTGCAGAATCGTGTTCAGTTTATTGATTTCTGGATCATAGGCCTGCATCACTGCAAGCTTCATGGTCTCAAAGTCAGACAGAATCTCATTTCGCTTCTGCTCCAGTGTGTGCTGCAGCTTCTCAAAGAACTCCTTCACTTTGTCAGAATCTTTCGTCAGCATCTGCAGAGCTTTCCTCTTGCTGGTCTCTAAGGTATCCAGCCTTGAGAGGGCATCTCCACAACGCCAAGTTTCAAATCCCTGAAACAAGGTTTCAAAAGCCCGCTTCTCCTGGGAATAAGCTTCTTCGATGGAACAGAAAACATGCTTTGTGTGATCACCACGGGTGGCACAAACCCCACAGATCAACTGCATGTCTGTCCTGCAAAATATGTTAAGGGGTTGCCCACTGTGCACTTTGCACACAGGCATTTTTGGAGTTACTTTGATTTTGTTGTACTTCTCCACAATACCTTTCAGGGAATAGTTGACCTGCAAGCTGTTGATTCCAATGACAGGAGTCTCCTTCCTGCACGTGGGGCACTTGAAAGGGGATGGCCTCCAAAGCACATTCCGCACATTTCCCTCAAGAATTCCTTCCAGACACTTTCTGCAGAAATTGTGTGAACAGGGCAGGACACGAGGATCATCAAACAGGCTACAGCAAATGGGACAGGTCAGATCTTCCTCTAGGAGCTCCATCATGTCCTAGGAAAGAAAAAATGATGGTAACAGAACTTACAAAACTTATTTCTCCCTCAAGGAGACCATACAAAAACCAATGTCCATCTGAGACATGTCTCAGTGAGAGAATGATGCATTTTTTCTTCCAGTATCCTTAAGACAGAGCCTCAGCTGGGGTTTTGCAGCCAGTCCCCCTTAGCTGTGGTACCTGGCCAGTACATGGCAGGCACAAGAATAGTGCAATGCTCAGGCAGAATGATTTTTTTGGACTCTCAACTAGAAATGCTAGAAAAGAATGCTTGCCAATCCCAGCAAGGATTCTTAAAGAAAATAACTCATGTACTCATAATAACAGTGCAAGACTTACATCTTTCCTTGCTGATGCAATACACAGAAATGGAATTTGCAAAGAAGATACATAGCCAACACACTCTGCTAAGATTTGATGACTTTCTACTTGCTCTAATCATCCAAAGCTTCAGTTTCAACCACACTCTGGTACTGTAGACAATACTAAAAATGACTGAAAAAGCCCAGCTGCAGTATTTCTGCTGCTACAGAATACTTGATGTGTCTTTCTGTTCTACTTTCAAGGCCAAAGGAGAGTCACCACTCACTTTAAGAATTAGCTTTTATCTTGCTCTTGCAGTATTTTTAAATAACCAACTGAATGTGTTACTATTGAGCCATTCAGCACAAAGTTAAAATATTTCAAATAACAGCCACCCATAATCCTTGATAATTCATCATGATACAGAACTGTTAAACATTTTTACTCATCTACAATCTCTATTTCCAATGCCATTCTCACTGCATTCACACCTCAGTAATTTCTTTCTGTGGACAGAACCTATAGGAAGAATATTTATCCCTTCCTACTGGAAAGTCTCAGTGAAGGGACCCAGCGCACTACCCTCCCCCTGCCTCTAACTAAAGCCAAGTTCTCAGATGCAGACACCCTGTAACTTAGAGCATGCTCTAAGAAAACAAATAGCTAATAAAGACCAAAGTAGGTGACAGTCTGTATCATCTAAAGCTCCCAAACACTTTGTTTTGAGCTATAATTAGAAAGGTACTTCCCTTGTATAAATTCCTTCCGTATTATACAACATATATTCATATATATGTAATAAAATTAATTTTATAAATTGAAAGATGTCACAGAAAAGTGCATCAAAGTACTGTTGTGACATCAAGGCATGTGAATGGGCTCTTAAGTTTTGATGTAATTTCTAAGGTTTCTGTCCCCTCAAAGAAATATGAAGTGGAAAACAGCCAAGAAGAGAACTGCAAGGGAAGATCCACGCTGCACAGGACAAGAACAGCAATAAAAACAATACCTCTGACCCAAGGAAAGCAAAGTTCACTATCAGGAAGAAAAGCCAGATCACTCCTGACTTTCTGTCACAAAAGGACCAATAGTCCCAGTAAGACTTCACAGTAAAAGCTATTCTCGGCAAGTGTAAGCAAACCTCCCATGCTTTTAAAGTGAGGAGGAAGGGTTGTCACAGCCTGAAAATTCAGCAGAAATTCTCAGTGGGCTGAACAAAGACAGCAGTCCAGCGTCAGGAACTCTTATCCTTTATTATATAGCTGCTTTAACTCTGATAGCTATCCCACTATTTAGTTGTAGAAATGTTGGCTAACAAGCTGTTGACTTTTACAATGAACTTTACCAAGCTCCCGACTCTCCCAGCAAACTTCAGCACAGAGCAAAGGGTAAAATCTGATTGCCACACTTGCTGGGATAAACCAAGAGGAGAGAGTAAAGACAGAAAATAGAGAAAGTGAAGGAAAAAGACCACCAGCCCTCAGATCCCGCACTGGTCCTGCCACTCTGCACAGTACAGATCTGGTATCAACAAAAGCCTGAGACCAATCCTCTCCCTTTTACAGCTTCCCTAGGGCACATCCCCTCATTTTTTGCGCCATTTGCTGCTGCTGGCACATGCACAGTGAACCCTTAGAGCCCTTCAGGAAATGAGTGGGGGGGGGCTGAGGGCCTGCAGTGGTCCGGGTGCCTCCTTCAGTGAGGTGCCCAGGACATGACCCTTCTCTTGCTGCAGGCACACTAAATGTGATCCTCCAGGCTGATTAACAAGCCCAGCAAAGAAAGGGAAGCTGGCTCACAACAGCGCTTCCCTGTCTCAGCGGGACCCTCCCTCCCAATCCCAACTTTCCTGCATGACAGTCAAAATGCTTGAGACAACCATGCTTATGTGCTTATGCCCCTCCACATATTTTCTGTGCTTGCTGGAAAAAAGAGACTTTGGAAAAGTTGCCAGCTTTTTTACTCAGAACTAAAGTCAGGAGACAGAAGAAGCCACCACTACAACTGGGGGAAAAGTCCCAGAGAAAAGGTCTAATAACTCTAACTAATGGGTTTCCTGTAAGCCCACAGATCCCATTCACAAACTCCATTTTCTGTGAGGAGAATGTAGTTTTGAAGCACCTCGCATGCTCTCAAATCAACATTTCTCTTCCATCTTTTTCCTAGTGGTAAAAATAATGGGATGACAGGAAGATGATAATTTCATCCCTCCACTCTTGAGTCTTCCTTTTTGTGAGCAGCTCTCTCTTTCCAACTTGTACTCATACCTTTTAGCCACAGTAGCAGCACAAAGATCAGTTCTGCTCATGTGTAAAGAGGATAATAACTACAAAACTAAAATTATGGTTTTCCATCTCTTAGTAAATGGAAATGCACCGGGCAGAAAATATTTGCTCTGGTCCATCTCATTTACCAGGGAAAATTTTATTTCCCAGTTGGGGAGCTGGAAAAGCAGCTTTGCATTCCTAACAGCACGAACTGCAAAGCAATGCAGAAAATGCTCACTATAACATTTTCCATCAAAATTGCAGGACAAACACCAAAGATTTTCACACTCCTAAAAATACAAAAAACATACACAAAAAGGCTTCATGATCCAACTAATATTGTCCTGTTACATTTGAACCCTACTTACCAAATTACATAATTATGCTTTATAAATATAACTGAATTTCAAAACCTTTATACAACATCATTAAAAACACTGCATTTAAAAAAAATAAATGGGCAGGTCTACAAAGTCCCCCCTCTTCCCCCTCTTACAACACCAGAAAACGCTAAACCAAAAATACTGAAGGACCTGTACGATTAGTTGGACAGATTAACTTCTGTCTTCTTTAATTTCAGATAGTAAATTGTCTGTAGATTGAAACATCCCTTAGCAACCTGGTATTTGTGTGATGAACCACATCTACAGTTCAACTTTTTCACTGGGAATTTCTCTGTGTAACCTCTGACCCAGGATTGGGTGGCCCTGGAATTCCCCACTTGTAGCACATGGACCAAAAGCATCTCTGGGTACAAACCCAACAGATGTCACCCATCAGAAATAGCAACTTGCACAGTTTTATCATTAGGAAGAAGAATGACAAACAACATCAAACCATAAAAGCAAAAACAACCACAGTAGCTTTTTCCCACACTCCAGACAAAAATTCATTTAGCATGCTTCTCAGCACAGAAGTTGGGTTTATCAGCCAGCAGCATGCTGAAAGCAAAACCAGAATTTCACCAGGCTTCAAAAAAACCAAAAAGATAACCTCTGAATTACAAGTTTCCTGCAACGGCATTTAACTGTTCTAAATGAGACGTGACCAAGTCAAGCTACATTTCTACAAGCAGTTGAGCTAGTCTGGAGAGGTCACATCTCCCTTCCTTGGCAGGAACCCTAGTCTGTGTCAGGACCCCCTATAAGCAATTTCACCAGCCTTGTCCAGACTTGTGTGTTGAATCAGCCCTAAAAAGAGTCCTACACAGAGGAGAAGAGAGATGGAAGATCCTCGTTCCAGCAGCTATGATCTGAACCCTGTTCACTGAGAGAAACCACAATCTAAGAGGGTCACTATATACATTTTATTGTGGAACAACTGACCTCTATGAGCAGTAGGTAACATAGGATCATAGAATATTAAGGAGTTGAGAAGGACTTTGAAGATTATCTAGTCCCAACCGCCCCTGCCATGGCCAGGGACACCAACCACTAGACCAGGTTGCCCAAAGCCTTATCTAACCCGGCCTTGAACACTGCCAGGACTGGGGCATCCAAAATATCCCTGTTCCAGTGTCACTGCTCCCACAGTAAAAAATTTCTTCCCAATATCTAAATAAAATTTTCTCTCAGTTTGTACACATCACTCTTTGTTCTGTCCCTATAGTTCCTGATGAAGTGCCCCTCTCTGGCTTCCCTGTAGACCCCTTCCAGCTACTGGAAGGTTGCTAACCAGACGGCCAAAAAGACATGGGTAAATTGCCCATGCTTTAAACCTGGTATTTCACGGCCAAAAGTTTTTCCAGGAGCACCAGGCAGATCCAACACGTCCAGACTCTCGAAAGGCAGGAAGGCCTGGAGAAATAAGCGGTCTGTGCTCAGTGCACACACAGCCCCATGAACACCGTTTCACCCCCAGGGCTGGGCGGTCTGCCGAGCGCACGGGCTGCCCCAGCGCTGGTCCCTGCGCTCGCCCCCACTGTCCCTTGACCTGGCAGAGGTTCCCCGGCTGCTCCTGGTTGCACCCCCCGTCTGCAGTTCCTGCAGGGAATCGCCCCTAAACGACGCTGCAGCCAGCCGCCGGCCCTGGCCTCCGCGGGGTGCCAGCGCTCCGCCCGGCGCCGCGGCCCGGGGCAGGGAGGCCGGGCAGGTCCGCGAGGCGCCGCGGGGCTCGGGGACGGCGGCTGCCGCGGAGCCGGCGGTAGGCGCCGCAGCGGCGTCCCCGGCCCGGGCGCTGCCGCCGCCTCTCACAAAGCCGCGGCCTGCGCTCGCCCGGCCGCGCCCGCCCGTCCTGCCGCCCCCGGGCCCCGCTACTCACCATGGCAGGCCGGGGCCCGGCGGGCTGCGGAGCGGCCGCCTCGGTCACCCGCACGCTCGCCACGCTCCCGCCCGCCCGCCGCCCGCCTTCCGGGCCCGCCGGGACGATCGGCCGGGCCCGCCGGAACGATCGGCCGGGCCCGCCGGGACGATCGGCCGGCCGCCGCT